TAGAAACAGACTTTTCGCATCAATTTGCGCGTGCTGTTTCAACTTTGCTCTCCTAGTCTTCATCACCATTTTCTTATCATGACTGGTATGCATCTTATTGGTCCTCATCCAAGCCAACGTGTATACTTCATCGTAGTACTGTGCATAGCGTTCAAATGTTAGTGAAGCGTGCACGAGTAATCTTCGGTGCCTTCATGCCGAGGGACACTCGCATTACATTTTTCACAGTTGCTGCACTCCTTCCGTGCTGCTTCCAGAGCTCACTGTGAAAGCAGAGCCCCCAAACCAAAGGCGAGAAGACAACAGTGTAACAAGTGTGCAGGCATAGCTGCCTCGACGTGAAAAAACAAAACAACACGAAAAACATGTACAGGCGATGCTGATGGTGATAGTGCCATTGTGCATTTGAATACGGCAGAGGCATAGAGAAATAAAATAGCGTCCTGATGACGATGATAACAGCATGTAAAAACGGGGCAATGTTTCCACAGCTGTGAGTGTGTCTTCAAAAATGCTACAGTCAAACCCCGCTACAATGAAACTGACAGGGCGTGGAAAAAAATTCGTTCAAGCAAAAATTTCGTAGTAGTAAAATCGAAAAAATATAGCTGATCTTAGCTATATACGATATGGCTAATATAGATTCGAATGGCTAATATATAATTACGAATGGCTAATATAGATTATTGCATGGGTAGTAGAAATGACAGAGGAGAGCTACTAGTAGATTTTGCAGAACGCAATAATTTAGGGATTTTGAATACCTTCTACAGAAAACAAGGAAACCGCAAGTGGACATGAAGGAGCCCTAATGGCGAAAATAAGAACGAAATAGACTTTATAATGAGTGCACACCCGGGCATCGTGCAGGATGTGGAAGTGGTTGGCAACGTACGATGCAGTGACCATAGAATGGTACGGTCTCGAATTCGCCCAGACTTGAGGAAGGAACGACAGAAAATGTTACGCAAGAAGCCAATCAATGAGCTAGCACTGAGAGGGAAAGTACAGGAATTCAGAGTCTCGCTTCAGAACAGGTACTCAGCTCTTAGTGAGGAATCCAACCTTAGCGTAGATACAGTGAATGACAATCTGACGAGTATCATTACGGAGTGTGCAGTGGAAGTTGAAGACAGGGTAGTTAGACAGAACACTGGCAAGCTTTCCCAGGAAACGAAGAATCTCATTAAGAAGCATCAAATCATGAAAGTCTTAAGTACAACAGACAAAATAGAACTGGCAGAGCTTTCGAAGTTGATTATTAAGCGTAAGGTATAACATGGAGAGAATTGAACACGCTCTGAAAAACGGAGGAAGCGTCAAAAACAGTGAAGAGGGAACTTGGGAAAGGCAAAAATCGGATGTATGCACTAAGGGACAAAGAAGGCAAGATAACTACCAATATGGATAGGATAGTTAAAATAGCGAAGGAGTTCTACAGAGATCTGTACAGTAGCCGGGACAACCACGACTTTAATACTACAAGAACTAGCAGTAACCCAGATGACAACCCACCAGTAATGATAGAAGAAGTCAGAAAAGCTTTGGAGAACATGCAAAGAGGCAAAGCTGCTGGTGAGGATAAGGTAACATCAGACCTGCTGAAAGATGGAGGACAGATTGTGTTAGAAAAACTAGCCACCCTGTTTACGAGGTGTCTCCTGACGGGAAGGGTACCAGAGTCTTGGAAGAACGCTAACATCATCTTAATACATAAGAAAGGAGATGACAAGGACTTGAAGAATTACAGGCCAATTAGCTTGCTCTCTGTAGTATACAAGCTATTTACAAAGATAATTGCTAACAGAGTGAAGAAAACATTGGAATTCAATCAACCAAAGGAACAAGCAGGATTTCGAACAGGCTACTCAACAATCGACCACATTCATACTATCAATCAGGTAATAGAGAAATGCTCAGAATATAACCAACCACTATACATAGCGTTCATAGATTACGAGAAGGCGTTTGATTCAGTAGAAATATCAGTCGTCATGCAGACACCGCGGAATCAGGGCGTTTATGGAGTATATATAAACATTCTGGAAGAAATCTACAGGGGATCAACTGCTACCATAGTGCTTCATAAAGAAAGCAACAGAATACCAATCAAGAAGGGTGTAAGGCAGGGAGGGGGACACAATTTCTCCAATGCTATTTACCGCGTGCTTACAGGGTTTTCAAAAACCTAGAATGGGAACAGTTAGGGATAAGAGTTAATGGAGAGTACCTTAGTAACCTGCGCTTCGCCGATGACATTGCATTGCTGAGTAACTCGGGGGGCGAATTGCAACTCATGATTACGGAGTTAGACAAGGAGAGCAGAAAGGTGGGTCTTAAAATTAATCTGCAGAAAACAAAAGTAATGTACAACAACCTCGGAAAGGAGCAGCGCTTCGAGATAGGTAATAGTGCACTTCAAGTTGTAAAAGACTATGTCTACTTAGGGCAGGTAATAACCGCAGAGCCTAACCACGAGACTGAAGTAACTAGAAGATTAAGAATTGGGTGGAGCACATTTGGCAAGCACTCTCAAATTATGACAGCTAGATTGCCACTATCCTAGATTGCCACTATCCCTCAAGAGGAAGGCATACAACAGCTGTATCTTGCCGGTACTTAGCTACGGAGCAAAAACCTGGAGACTTACAAAGAGGGTTCAGCTTAAATTGAGGACGACGCAGCGAGCAATGGAAAGAAAAATGGTAGGTGTAACCTTAAGAGACAAGAAGAGAGCAGAGTGGATTAGGGAAAAAACGGGGGTGAAGGATATCATAGTTGAAATCAAGAAGAGGAAATGGACATGGACCGGGCATGTAGCGCATAGACAGGATAATCGCTGGTCATTAAGGGTAACTAACTGGATTCCCAGAGAAGGCAAACGGGTTAGGGGGAGACAGAAGGTTAGGTGGGCAGATGAGATTAAGAAGTTTGCGGGTATAAATTGGCAGCAGCAAGCACAGGACCGGGTTAAATGGCGGAACATGGGAGAGGCCTTTGTCCTGCAGTGGACATAGTCAGGCTGATGATGATGATGATGATGCTTGCAGAACAGCGGCGGTTTATGGTGGTGCCAGCGCGTGTTTTAGGCTTTGTCGACGTATCTTCAGGTTCTGAAAATGCATCGAAATGTTAAAAATTGTGTTTACTGTATAGCAATAAATATCTGAGCCTGGAATGGCATCGTGAAATTTCGTAGAAGCGGGATGGCAGAAGAAAAAGTGTTTTTTGTGGCAACAATATTTATGCATTGACTCCTATGAACTTCTGACGGGGAACCGTGAATTTTTCGTTGTAGCGGCGTTCGTTGTAGTGGGGTTTGACTGTATTATTTTGAAGTATTGAGGAGAGATAAGGATGATAGAATTCCAATTGTTATTCTGAAACATTCAGTATTCTGAAATTTATAGTAGTGAAGTATTTTTACAATAAACCAATGAACAATTGAAGGGAGAGTTTTGAAAAAGTCGGTATTCTGGGGTTTGCTATAACAAGATGTGACTGCAATATTAATGGTAGTTGACCAATAATTACACCATTAAAATGGTTTCTAGGCACCATCACTTGGTGATATTAGAGAAAAATGTATGGTTTCACTGATATTTATGTCTGTGGGCTGCTTCACCTACGTAAATGAGCATGTACTGGTAAGATCAATGTAAGTTAAGCCAAGACACATCAAATAAAGAAACAAACGTTCAAAGCATACACACAAGCAAATTCCACAACAACAACAAAAAAATAATCTAGTAGCTGGACTAACTACGCACCCTCCTTAAAGTCATCCTTAGTGACCAACTTTTAAGCAAATTCAGACTTTTTTTTTTTTTTCTTTGTGCTCTTATAGTCCCACTTCAATATATGAGCATAAATTATACCTAGTTTGAAGGGACACTCACCAGATTTGATAATTTCGAGCCGACAAGCGATATGCGTAGGTGGGGCGTTCATGATCACGTCTGCTGAAATTCGCAACGCTACGCGCCGCGGAAATGGGTCAAATCCTCTACGTAGATGACTGTTATCTGTTGTTGCCAACAGTGGTACATGACATGGCGAAAATTATTTAACATGACATGCGTAGTTTATGTAATTTGTTAGTTGAAAAAATAATAAAACTTGAGATAAAGAATCAGATGCATAAAGAAATGTGCGTGCCTTTTTTTGCATTTTTTCCCGTGAATTGCAACGAGATGCAGGGCTAATGTGCTGGCGTTTCGCATGCATTCGTGTCCCCGTGATCAGCGCATTGAGCAGACGACAGCCGTGGAAGCGAAAGTAACGCTCCTACATGTTCGGGCACTCATTGTGCTCATCTATTCTACCGCGTCTAAGCCAGCATTTCCAAACCATCCCGCAGAAACAAGCAGTAGGCTACAAAATAACGCTGGTCAACAAAACAATACTGCTCGCATGCTCGGGGGTTGGGCTTGTTGGGGCACGCCATGCGCACGTGACCTCTTGGTCGGCTGCCGGAGAGAGTAGGAAAGAGATTTGCCTTGTGAAGGCTACGTGGCGGAGCGGCAAGGGTTTCGAGCTCGCCTTCTCTCATCTTCATTCGTGCCGCTTCAAAAAAAAAAAAAAAAAAAAAAAAAAAAATAAAAAAAAAACAAATAAAAAAAAAAACACGTTTTCTCAGCTCGTAATGAACCGATTGAAAAAATTTTTGTGGCATAATTTTCTTCGTTGGACACAGAACAACATACACGGAATAACTCAGATTTGTTATGGGGCCTGGTGAGCGGCACTTCAAAGGGATACTTAAAAAAATTTACCAGCAGGATTTTCAGCTGAACTAAAAGATGGCTAATAAGACCAATAGACACAACGTAAACTTCGTGCAGAATGAGGGGAAAATTACGAATTAAATGTGTTTGCCACAAACTGCCCACCAGGACAGTAATGCACTTTTAAAAAGCAAGAATGAAAATTCAGTACTGCCAGAAGACAGCGCACTGATAACGCAAGACAGCAAGACTTTGCGTTGAAAAAGGACTCACAGACAGATGACCTTCATGGTGCTCTGGAAAATACTTGTAGAGGTATTCAGATGCAACCAGCTGCAAGACGGTGTCACCCAGAAATTCTAGCCTCTGGTTTGAACCCCTGATCAGAAAAGAAAATGGGGCGAAATAGTTTTACATTGAAGCTTGCGAGCAATCTTATGCATGCTAGCAGCAGAAGAGAGAATTGGGCTGTGCGAAAATTCCTGCAGCAGTTACTGCTATATTCTTTTACCTACCTGGTGCCTATTTCTGTTTGGAAAAAAGATTTACGAAGCAGCTCCTCTTATAAAATGAAAATTGGTAACAACAGTCACCAATCTACATTAATATCAACATGATAGTGGTGAAGCTCCATCCTGCTGAAAACCAAGTTGATGACTACTGTCGCAAATGTAGCTGCAAGCGGTTGCAGATGGAAACAGTCTACTATATTTGATTTGAAGAATGCGAACTGTTACAGTGGTGCTATAAGACACCATATTCACTTGCGTAACTTGTGTCATAGTGCAGCTTGCAGGCAATATGGAAATGCTGAAGACGAAGGCTGCAAATTATGCTGCAATACATGTTCAACTCTCTGTTTATCTACTCTGAATATTGCAATATCTATACGTTCATTTCCACTGAAACATGGCCACCATGACAAGACGTTCGACCTGCGACATCTTGTTGGACAGAAGAATACCATATCAATGAGCCACTGTTAATAAAATATGAAGCATTTCTTTGCGTACTGCAGGCACAGTGAGCTTCCCTCTGTCTGTAAAAGTAGGGTACTTAATTAATTTACGATTGGCAATACTGACTTACAGTCTAAGCATATAAAGCAGTAAGCATGAAAAACATTAAAAAAATTCACAGTAAGAAGATACAAAAAAAAAAGTTGGCATAAAAGAACTAGTATATATTTTTTAGCCTTGTGATTAAATTAAATTTTTTTTCCTTGTGGGTTTCAATGGTGAATTCAAACAAGAAAGCAAGCATAAGAAACAGCAAACGGTAGAAAGAAATATTAACTTTATTAAATGCTAAGCCGCACCCCTGTCTGAGTGCTTAAGCTGCATTGCGTATGTCCAAGTTAAGGTTTGTTTACACTGAAACAAAAGCATTCAATAATAAGAACAAACAAGCAAGTAAATAAAATAATTAATTACGAGCTCAGTCCTAATGCGTGGAGAGATTTTGCTATGTCACATAAAAATTACATTTAAAAATACTGGCGATCCTTCTGTAACTTTCCTTATCTCTCTGCCCCCCCTCCCCTGCCTTATGATAACCCTACTCATGCACCAAGGCAAAGTAAATGTCAAAGGGGTGGAGCCACACTTCAGCCATATCATCGCCTTCGATAGGCGAATTGTGAGACAAAGTGTTTCTTACAGTGTGAGGTTGTTGAATCCAATGCTGCGATGAGTGAAGGCTTTTGCCAGCAGTCTAATGTGGGTGAACTCAATGCCAGTCAACTGTTCAAACTCATTCAGTTTCTGAAAAATTGAAAACACAGAAAAATGTTAATTTTAAAGCCAGAAAATGTTATACCAGTTAAGCATATTTGACAAGCCACTTAATTGCACAATTATTATTGTTAAGTGGTATCAAATCTAGGGGTGAGGCTGTTGCATAAGCATTGAACAAGAATGTCCAGCATGGACAATGCATCTTTTAAACGATTACTTGTTTAGTGCAACATCTGTACTTGTGTTTTCTAACCAACTCATAGCAATCACTGGTTGCATGCAATACCAACTTGCATTTTCAATTTTTTTATTGACCACACTCCAACATTTATCTAGGCATCCTGATTTCATTCTACTGAAAGGACACTAATCTATATAGAAGTCTTGCTATGTGATATGTGCTTTGTGGCACATAAAAAGGTACCACAAAGTACCTTTTTATTACTACACTGCTATAATCCATGCTATTATAAAGAATGCTGCCTTTACACATTTTTTTATGAACATGTATGCCAAACCAGGAAGCGGCGCATTTGGTTTTGTATGAAATGACTTTTCCCCGGCCTTTCAAAGCATTTTGAAAGTTTCTGGTCAAAACTGTTTGAATTTTACAACTCAAACATTAAACTTACAATAATGAATAACTATTTGCATTTGCTTGAGCAGTTTTTCTTTTTGCCTCAGCAGTAGTAAAATGCAAATATACAAGTTTCAATAAATCTTTTCGTTTGTTTTTCACACATTCAGCAATTTCAATTGTTTCGCTGTTCCCACAAACCCCGAATCGTCAGTTAGAAATTGTACTAATCTGTTTACAAGGCATGTCCATTTCTATGGACTGTAGCTGTCATATTTCTGATAGTTGAACAGGGACTGATAAGCTGAATTGAGCTACTGTAATGTCAAGCTAGGTCCACGTAACAATGTCAGTCAAGTACGAAATATTCTTTCTTGTTTTTAAGAGTAGTATAATGATTATGACTAATAATGAAATTATTGCAGAGCACCCTTTTTTCTCAGTGGGATCTGAACCCACAACCTTCATACCACTTTTGCGATGCTCTACCACAACTTAACTGTGTAATTTGAAGGTTGTCGGCCTGAACACTGGCAGAGTAGCGGCATGTGGCTATCCCAAAAGCTGTTGAGGTTCCTCAAGGTCAAAGAAATTTTACAACCACTGTCCTTTGTTTCCTTCATGCGATCGGATTAAGGTTCTCTTTTGCGAGATTTATAGCCATGCACTTACAATCAGGAGGGTTGGTCACAATAGCGAAGCCTCCTAGACAGATTGGGAGCGTTGGCAGGTACTACGGTATGTGCAGTCCTCACGTATTGAAATGCAATACTCATTTTTTTTTAATTCTAATGACTACTATGAGTTATTGTTCAAGATAACCATGTCATGTGGCTATGAATCTGCACAGTCAAGGTAGCGAAGGCTCTAATGCAAGCATTGAGAGTCAAAATTACGGGAATTACTTAGCTTTAAATTGTCGTGTGTTATCAATCAGTGAGTACAGTACATATTATGCAGAAAATAATATGAGCATGTGCCAGTACAACTGTTCAATAAAAAAAAGTGAGAATGTGTTGCATTCTTAACACTTTGTTGCAATTAAGGAGAATAGCATGACACTGCACTTAGAATTTCAAAAGATAACTCCGTGCAGTACATAATTACCCTGGAAAATTATTCTGCAACTTATCTCATCGAGCTGGCCACTCATGATTGCTATATTATGATAATTCAATAACCAGAATAGCAGACTGCCAAACACACTGCACGTTCCACATTAAGGCACCAACTGGCATGATTTTCCAATGCCATGCACTTACCTTCAGCAATGGAACAATGCCAATCCACTTTCTATCGCCCTCTGGCACTTGTTCCTGTAAGTGAAACATCAAAACTAAACACAACTTCAACGGATCCTTAAAAAATAACAACTCCAATGGCAAAATGAAGCACCTTAATGACTGTGGTTCAAGCTATAAGACGTGAGCATGTACAAATCAGTGTTAAAAATATAAATGCTCTAAACTGCCTTTACAGTGTAAACCTTATCTACGATCTCAAGGTTGGACTTGATTGATTGATATGTGGAGTTTAACGTCCCAAAACCACCATATGATTATGAAAGATGCCGTAGTGGAGGGCTCCAGAAATTTCGACCACCTGGGGTTCTTTAACGTGCACCCAAATCTGAGCACACGGGCCTACAACATTTCCGCCTCTATCGGAAATGCAGCCCCCGCAACCGGGATTCGAATCCGCGACCTGCGGGTCAGCAGCCGAGTACCTTAGTCACTAGACCACCGCGGGGAGGCAAGGTTGGACTGCAGCACATGAAGCTTACGTTTGGTTTTATATCAAATTACACTACCCAAGCAATTTTCAGACACATTTTCTCATGAGGAAAAAAAAATAGAAACTGTAGTATTGCAGAAGTATCATCATAAATGATTGTAAGCTATTTTCCTTGCATCAGACTTCCTGAGGAACATTGAAAATGGGCAATTTGGATGAACCACAACATGCATTCAATCAATTCACAGTAATTATATCACAACACTACCAAAATGAGCAGCGACAATGCTGGAATCACCCCTTTAGCCACCACAGGGGTTGGGTATATGAAAGATTATCAGCTAAATTCCAATTGTCAAGTTATATGGCTAATTCCAAGATTGAACTGAACACCTGGTCCTATAAAGATGTATGGGTGCTAGAAGGTGCTAGAAGAATGGGTACTAGATCTTCAGTCAAGGTCAAATTATTCTCAAATCTAATCAACCAGCTAAAGCAACAAAATTCTGGTGCAGAGTGCACAAGTAAGCCACAGATGGTGGTCCGCAACATTACAATTCACTAAGATAAGCACGTGTCAACATCACAAAATTCCTTTCCCCCATGTGACAGCATAAAATGATATTCATGATAACTAACAGAAAATAATGCCAAGGAAAGTATAGGGGATGTTGCTAGTAGTACAGTAGACTCATCATAATTCAAACTCTAATAATTCATACTTTCGGTTGCTTCAAACAAAATTGTTGCTTCAAACAAAATTAAATTTTTCGGTTGGACCTCTATTCTTTCTAAGTATTTAAAAGCCTCTTAATTCAAACTCTATTGTTTGATTAATTCATACTTTTCGCAGGCCCATACCAGAAAATATCAGCTGCTTTCCCACAACTATTTAAAAATTTGTGTGCTTATATTATTCTAACAGTCTAAAAATTAAAAATATGCACCAGAGGCCTTCAAGGAAAAGGCTTTGCAAGTAAACAAATGTTTGAAACGAAGTACACACATGGTAAACCGTGATGCTTCTCAACTGGTATACAGAGCTTTGTGCTGAAGGCACATACCTATAGCAATAAAGCAGTTAGAAATTCACGATTTCTTTAAAAGGTCTGATCAGCAGTAATGGCCAATAAGCTTATGGACTTTACGCCTCTACTTTTGCTTCACTTCGGACAGTTAGGGCTTGAAGACGCTTAAAAAAATTTTCAATATGATGAAATCAATGCCTAATCATAATAAGTGGTGTCACCTCACCCAGAGTCATCTATCTGAGAACTTCTGATAAATTCAAACTTCTTGATAATTCAAACAAAATTCAAAGGGCCCTTCGAGTTTGAATTAACGAGAGTTGACTGTAATTGTAATGTAAATGTCACACTCGCCGTCATGACTTCCAGTAGTGCTGACTAATGCTTCCAGTTTTAAATGCCGATATCTACCACGTAAAGTGGACCTGGGAAGGATCACTGCCGCAGCTCAGTTAGCAGAGCATCAGACGCGTTATTCAAAGATTGCAGGTTTGGTTCCTGCCAGCGGCAAGCTTTCTTTTCATCCACTTTCCTTTTTTGACATTTACATTACAATTGCTACTAATAAAACATCCCCTATACTTTTTTTGGCATTACTGTCTGCTCGTTCACATTAATATAATGTCAAACAAAGAAAAATGAGCCCTTATATTTCCACTTCTTCCTTTCGTGATATACAATGATATGACATGACACATGCCGAAACAGTGTCAGTGAAAAATGTGCCTCCAGCTGCTGAAAAGATCATTTGGTGCATCACTACACTATAGCTATCAAATAGGTTTTCAGCTATGTAATTTGTATGTTTCATGGTACTGCTCTCATTTAATACGTATCCACATGAACACAGATTCTTTTCCACAGTCACGATGAGAACAATAGCACTTGACCAAAACGAATGAAAAGAATTACTAGCTATCAATAGCAAATTGTATAGTAATTACACAAATTGTGGTGCCAGCGTTTTCTTCAGGCAACACCTGATCACGCAAAGGCTTGCATAGGTTGTAGAAATTTCTAATTACAAAACTCCTGCACTTTATACATACTTTTGTTTTCATATGTTGCTACTGCACGTAACAATTTATGATAAACTGTTAAGAGGGTGACAGCACATTCTTTTTTTTTAAACTGATTACAAAAGTAAAAAAGGCCATCTTTCTTGTATGTTAAGGGTACAGGGTGGGCGCTATACACCTGATGCATTTTTGGTCATTTTGAGGCACCGTTTTCTCAGTGACTAAAAGAAATATTCACATATTCCATACACCATGTTCTTCCAAATTTTCTGCTTTTTTAACTGAAGCAGATATATTCAAATGTCGGTAATACTCAAACTTTTGTGAATATTTTACAGCTAGGTTGATTTTACCACTGGGTTGAGTTAATTGGCATCTATGAAAATTTTAACACAAAAACTGTAAAGTGCCTAACTTCAATTCTGCTTCACTAGCTGAATGTATTTATGCAGAATTCAAGAAAACATAATCAAATGGTTATCTTGGAATACATAGGAAATAATCGTACATAAGTAATAAAAAACATGGAATGAAGATAATCGAGTTTGAAGTTTGAAAACAGCTGAAAAGCGATCACCCTTCGTCAGAAACACTGTTCAGCTATTTTATTTAGTAGCTGCAAGCATGGTAATCATTGCCAAAGTCCATTTTTCACTATGAAGCCTCTTGTAATGCTTGCCTTGCTTCTTTTGTGACCTGTCGTACAGCTTTATCAGAAATGTATCGTTCGAGTGTGGTCAACATTTTCCAGCAAATTGACTGTAGTCTGACCAGGCTTCAATCATAACTATTTCAGAATTTTGGATTGTTTGATACTACCATCAATAAATTAAAGAATAAAAAACATTTAACGTCACAATTTTTAAGACTCTGAACCTAAAAAAAGACAGCAAAGACTCTGCAATGCAATTCAATCAACTCAACACTTACACCGGGCCAATCTTGCGCACTATTCTGTTTATTTACATTACAAATAATAATCATGTCTATTAGAGCATACCCGTTGTCATCATGCACATGATTCACCTTAAAGGATGCTGAAAAGGTAGAGAGCTTCAACAATGCAGAGCTTGCTGGTTCAGCGTTCAGAGTATCAGTACATCACTGGCATTTAATCAATAATAATTTTAAAGAATATCTGGAGCTTCACGTCTCAAAACCACAATATTATTATGATAGATGCCATAGGCATCTATCATAATAATATTGTGGTTTTGAGACCATCATATGAGACTATATGAGACCATCATTTGAGACCACCATATAATTATGAGAGACGCCGTAGTGGAGGGCTCCGGAAATTTCGACCACCTGGGGTTCTTTTCATCATCATCATCATCATCAGCCTGACTACGTCCGCTGCAGAACAAAGGCCTCTCCCATTTTCCGCCAGTTAAACCGGTTCTGTGCTTGCTGCTGCCAATTTATACCCGCAAACTTCTTAATCTCATCAGCCCACCTAACCTTCTGTATCCCCCTAACCCGCTTCCCTTCTCTGGGAATCCAGTTAGTTACCCTCAATGACCAGCGATTATCCTGTCTACGCGCTACATGCCCGGCCCATGTCCATTTCCTCTTCTTTATTTCAACTATGATATCCTTAACCCCCGTTTGTCCCCTAATCAACTCTGCTCTCTTCTTGTCTCTTAAGGTTACACCTACCATTTTTCTTTCCATTGCTCGCTGCGTCGTCCTCAATTTAAGCTGAACCCTCTTTGTAAGTCTCCAGGTTTCTGCTCCGTAGCTAAGTACCGGCAAGATACAGCTGTTATATACCTTCCTCTTGAGGGATAGTGGCAATCTACCTGTCATAATTTGAGAGTGCTTGCCGAATGTGCTCCACCCTATTCTTATTCTTCTAGTTACTTCAATCTCGTGGTTAGGCTCTGCGGTTATTACCTGCCCTAAGTAGACATAGTCTTTTACAACTTTAAGTGCACTATTGCCTATCTCGAAGTGCTGCTCCTTTCCGAGGTTGTTGTACATTACTTTCGTTTTCTGCCGATTAATTTTAAGACCCACCTTTCTGCTCTCCTTGTCTAACTTCATAATCATGAGTTGCAATTCATCCCCCGACTTACTCAGCAATGCAATGTCATCTGCGAAGCGCAGGTTACTAAGGTATTCTCCATTAACTCTTATCCCTAACTGTTCCCATTCTAAGCTTCTGAAAACCTCCTGTAAGCACGCGGTAAATAGCATTGGAGAGATTGTGTCCCCCTGCCTTACACCCTTCTTGATTGGTATTCTGTTGCTTTCTTTATGAAGCACTATGGTAGCAGTTGATCCCCTGTAGATTTCTTCCAGAATATTTATATATACCTCATCTACGCCCTGATTCCGCAGTGTCTGCATGACGGCTGATATTTCTACTGAATCAAACGCCTTCTCGTAATCTATGAAGGCTATGTATAGTGGTTGGTTATACTCTGAGCATTTCTCTATTACCTGATTGATAGTATGAATGTGGTCAATTGTTGAGTAGCCTGTTCGAAATCCTGCTTGTTCCTTTGGTTGATTGAATTCTAATGTTTT